CCGCGGCCTCCCGAGCTTGAGCCCTGCCCGAGTCCAGGTGGGAGGCTCATTTTCCCACAGGAAGAGAAATAAGAGCTCCTGACTTTCAAGCCCAGGTTCTTATTTCCAGGCCTCTTCCTTTTGGCAAGAGATACAGCGATTTATCCCTATTCCAGGCGGTCGAGACAGCTAGAACATGACACCCATCCCCTTTCYCCTCCACAAAATTTACTCCTTGCAGAAACTGAGCTCTGCAGAGGGCTGTGAGATACTTCACAAATGAGGAGAGGAAGTAACCATCATAACGCAGGCTAATCTGGTGACTCAAGCATCGCAGCTATGCACAGGAGAGTCCAAGACACATTAATGCCGCTCATTTTCCATCAGACCGCCAAGTAGGTCTCTTCATTACGGCTACATCTTGCGCCTGACCCCATTTGTCACTCCTTTATCCTGATTTTCACTGCGCCTGGTGAAAAGCAGCTTGAATGATACGCCCTGCGCGGCACAGAAAGCAGGGATCTATCTTGGGAAGCAGCGTGACACAGCCATCGCTTGCTCACGCCACTGCTTTTAAATCCCCCTGCAAATTCTGTGCCACAAGACGCCGAGGAGCTCTGAGTCACCGAACACATCATATCCCCAGAGAGCTTCACCTATTTTGGGACACTGCTGCATGTCAGTAACATCCCTATGAGGATGAGAACTGTAGCCCAAAGCAGAAAAAAAATCTGCTTAATTCCATACGCTCAATATTTTCCTAACACAAGTGCCACGAAAGCACAGCAGTGGGGTGGATTTAGCTGTGAAGGAGACGCAGATGCGCAGCCCTTACCTCTCCTCTGCTCTGCAGGCGCCCTCTGTCTGAGTGCTGCAGGAATGAAAACTCAATTAAATTCACTTCAAAATGCCACTGATCACGTATAGTTTGCCCCAGAAGCTGCATTTGGGGGCTATTTCTGTTAATTAGTTATTTAATCTAAGTTGATAAAAGTTTCTTGTTATAGTCTAGTGTTCTAATTAAAATTGGTAAGTAAAATACTGAAGAGAGTGGTTTTTAAAAAGTGCTTCCTAAACCGAACAAACATTTTACAACTTTATCTCCTGTTGTTATTCTGAGAGGTGTTGGTAAAGCAAATATTTCCCACTGCTCACCTCGCATGTTTGGTCTGTTCCCTTGGTGTTTTCTTATCTGCTAATTTAAAAATAGAAGTACAGTCATCTTAATGTTTAGAATTCCCTGCAGGCTGTGTGCTTGACATCCTAGCTTTGACTTTGAATTTAAAATACTTTTGTTATAATCTCTCTTAAACTATATAATCATCCTGGTCAGACTCCTAATATGATGGAGTCTGACCACGCAAATATCTTTCATTATATATCAGATAATATTTTGATGGCTATAAGGTASATAGGAAGTGTATCACTGAGGTATGTAACTGAGCAAATGTATAAGGGTTTAACACAGAAAGGAGAACCTGCTTTGCACCTATTTTAGCAGTTCTTTCAGTTACTAAAAACAACATACCTGGTCCACTCAGAAGCTCCGAGTCTTCATACTAAACAAGAAATACAATTCATTTTATAAGCAGTCATAAAAAGCCGGGTATTTTTATGAGGCTTAAGAAGTCCACGTGGGAATTCACATAAAAGTCTTGTACTTCACATATGCATCACTAGCAAGTGTTTCTCTAAYGCGGGTGGACAAGCTAAGGCACCACTTTATAATTTGCTTTCCTGTGCTCCATTTTGGGATATAGATTTCTTTTTTAACTGGTTTTGACACGTGTCCAGTCTCTACAAACAAATGGCACAAACTCCAAACGTTTTTACAATTAATGTCTCTAGGGCTTCCTGCCTTTGCTCTGCCTATTTGTCATGTCACTGCAGCATTCAGCAGAAATCTATCTTCAAGAGGACGTTTAATCTCATTAAAACCCTCTCCAAATTTTTCATGATACTGATATATTTACCCAGAAATTGGTGACATTTAAGTAGTTGGATATCTCGCCAGAAAGTCTCTCGATCTCACTTTGAAAACAAAGCAAAATGCAAATAAATGTGTTACTTGTCAGAACGATTCTGAAGTACAAAGCTGATAAAGACATCAATTTGTCACAGAACTTTAGCCACCAGAAATTGGAAAGATTTATTAATCAAGGGTGAAATGTGCTCTGCCCTTCTAAACCACAAAGCCACRTTAGTTTAGCTCAGTTGTATATCATTTTAACTCAATGTAAGGTAATTCTCATCCTTACTTTTTATACTCTTCTTTCCTTAATGCCCAATCTAGGAAGAAAAAGGAATGATACATTATTTTCGTGATCCAAACTAGAAGATGAAGCTCCATCTAGCAAATTCATACTAAAACTCACTATTATTTTCCAACCAGGAGAGATGGGGACAAATTATTCTACTTATATCTTAATAGACTTTTCTTTCATTTCAGTGTGCTTGGCTATGAATGATATATATGCCTGACTCTGCAAAATGTCACATACTGATTTCAGGGGTGGTTATGGCAAAGCTAGGGCCTAAGGCAGATATCCTTYCCACACACATTTCTATTTCCACACAAATTCCCAATGTCTTAAATGGAAGCTGCAGGTATTCAGTACTTCTGCAAATAATTATGATTACTAGGTAAGAATTTATATAATCAAAGTTACATTTAGGCCACATCCAGCTCATTTTCTTAGCAATTAGTTTTATAAGTAAGCTCAATTCCTTCCTTATCACTAATTTCCTTTCATGTTGCTGCATACAAAGATTTTTAGTAACAGACGTTTGATCTTAACTCAGTTGTTAATTTAGCAACTGTTAAYGACAGAGAATTTCCCACTGGAAAAGGTTTAGATGCTTTTCAGAAAATATACCTTTTGTTTTATATCGCAGCCTTGAGTTCTGAGGAAAAGAGAATACAAACAGCATTGAGCACAAATACAGAAACATTAACAGTGAAGTCTCTCTACAGTAAAGAGCCTAAAGGTGTTAAATTGATGTGATTATTATCAGTGCAATTGCAAAAAAAAAAAAAAGGGCATACAACAAACTGCTTGCAAACTTAAATAAAAGTGTAAAAGATGTACCGCATTTTTTAGCTTCCTATTTTCTGTCCTCAAAGCATCAATTTCTTGGACCTAGTATAGAAAAAAAGCATTATGTTTTGAACATAAAATCAGTATCGACTTCATACATTTTCTCAACATCAGCTTCCTTTAGGGCTGATTAAGCATATTTGCCTCATTTTAAAAGTCTCTAAGTTTGGGTTTTGGTCTTTAGTTTGCAGTAACAGTAAGAAATTGATGCCAAACTGATAAAAAAAATCATAAAAGTTAATAAATAATTTACTTGCACTGACTCTATTCCTGCAATGTTCAGAATACTCCTAAGATATTACTTGTATTCAGCTTAATAGAGCCAGGAGGAGTGTGACACAACAACTTGGCAACACTGCCATAGAAATTGTAGGAACAAACTTCACATCTCTGATCTCCACACATAAGCTGCACGTCTATAGTCTGTATATCAATAACATATTACGAATGTCTCTAAGAATGCTTTGGTAGGAATTACTCACAGACTGACTGCTGTCTAAGAAGGAACAGATTTCATGGACGAGCCTCTTTCTCTGATCTTTATTTTTCCTATAAAATACAAAAACGTTCAGCTCTATCTGTATTGCTGTAATGCATTTTGATGTATTTTGAATGTAAATCAAGCAGAACAAAAGATGAACTATAAGTGTGACAGAGTTCCTTTGTGTCAGCTTTTATGAAAAGATACTTACAAGATTTGCAAATAGCTTTCATTTTTCATCAACACCTGCTCACCGTTTTCTGTATAAAACATGCACATTATACAATTACATTTTTAGGAACATAATAGCCCTTTTCCAAAAGTGTCACACTTGGGAATGACGAGGGCAGCAGAATAAACAGCACAGGGCCCCCTTGCTTCAAAGGCTGGCAAAGGACCCATCAGCTCCCGTCACACGGCCACACTACCCGTGCAGAGGAGCGGGATGCGGAGGGGATGTGGCCCCAGCCGGGCGCACGGGGTGTTCTTTGGGCCTCCCCTCTCCTCCTGGACTATTGCAGGTTACCACCAATTGCGCTTGCTTTGGAAGGGACCCAAGAAGCTGCTTGCGATGGCATTTGGTCTGAGCTCCAAAACCTGCCTGGATGCAGAAAAAAACATTCAAGGGGCCAAGGGCCAAGTGCCACAACACTGCAGAAGGCTGGAGGRGGCCGGGGCCTTCACGGGCTGAGTCCTCTTGATGGTTGCTTAWGGGATTTTGTAGTGACAAATCACTAATTGGGCAGAACTGACCTGAATAAGGCATTCCACACCCCCAAGCAATTTTAATCTGCCTTTTTTACCATCCCCCTGGGTGCAAAGCACAGTTCTGATGCAGACAGGCTGGGGACCTACCTGGCTTTTCAAGCAAAGGCATAGTGGAACAGGGACCTGCTGCTGGGAGAGAGAGGCCCGTTTAGTCTTGCACTGCTGTCCCTCTCAGGAGGCTCCACCACCATGACCACAACCACGACCGCCACCAGCACGGCCATGACACCAGTGACCACAGACAGCAGGACCTTGAATATCACCATGACCATCACCACCACCTCCGTAACCATAGCTATAGCCATGGCTACCACCACCATCACCACAGCTACAACCACCACCATCACCATAGCTACAACCACCACCATCACCATAGCTACAACCACCTCCACCATGACCATGACCATGACCATGACCATGACCATGACCATGACCATGACCATGACCATGACCATGACCATGACCCCCTAGGCCCGTAAGAGGCTCTTAGCAACAGCCCCACCCCACGCACACCTGGACGGCGGCCGTTATGGGGCCGTTGCGCGCGTCGCGCTGCACGCCGGGAGTTGTAGTCCGCCCGCCCCCTTCGCCCCCGCGCGCCGCCCCGCGCGCCGACTACAAGTCCCAGGGAGGCCGCGCGCGCGCGCGGGCGGCCGGGCCGGGCCGAGCGGAGCCAAGATGAACGCCGTGCTCGCCGTGAAGCAGTACGTGTCCAAGATGATCGAGGAGAGCGGGCCGGGCATGAAGGTGCTGCTCATGGACCGCGAGACGGTGAGCGGCGGCGCGGGCCGGGCGGGGAGGGAGGCGGCGGCCGCGGCGTGACGCGGCGCCCGTCCCTGTCCCCGCAGACGGGCGCCGTGAGCATGGTGTACACGCAGTCCGAGATCCTGCAGCGCGAGGTCTACCTCTTCGAGCGCATCGACTCGCCCGGCAGGGAGCCCATGCGGCACCTGAGGGCCATCTGCTTCCTGCGGCCCACCAAGGTAAGGCAGGGCGGCGGCGGCGGGCACCGCACCCGGGCCCGGCCACTCGCCTCCTCCTCCTCCCGCAGGAGAACGTGGAGCACCTGGTCCAGGAGCTGCGCCGGCCCAAGTACAGCGTCTACTTCATCTGTGAGTGCCCTGCCCCGCAGCCGGCCGCGTCGCCGCGCGTGCATCGGGTTTAATGTGCTCGGGCAGTGTGGAAAACGGGCTCGATGTGGTTTTYCCTCTATTTGGATCTCTAGTCAAGCCCTCTTTCCCAAGCGTGTTATAGAGAAGATAAGGTAACTAAACGGGATGAGCTTCCTTTGCAAAGGATCATCCTAGCTATGCACTGCTCTGACACTTGTTGTTGCAGAGAAGTTCTGGGGATTTGAAGCATTATATCGCGTTGTGAATGTGAAGGAAGGTAAAGGAGGAGAACTGAGGTGTAGAGCATGAAAGGCTGGCTCTGGTTTTGAAGGTAAATAGCATTCCAATATTTGGTCGCTATTTGGAGTAGTCTTCACATGCCAGTTGGGCTGACCCTGCCGTGCAGCAGCTCTGGATGGCTGCAGCAGCGCGTGCTGGGGTCGTGCCGCAGAATCCCACCTAGTTCAGGGGTTTTGGCGGGGGAGCTATTGCGGGTTATGGGGAGTCCAGTTCTCAAGGCGCGGCGCATGCTCCGCTTCCGCCAGGCCCGTGGACCGAAGTGGCCTCTAGGTGTCATTGTGGATCCGCAGGAACACAGGGATGCAGGTTTGGAAATGATGGTGGGGACCTAATGTACACAGATACAGCAGCACTTGGGGGCTTCAGTGCAGATAGAGGTGTCCCTCTGCCAAGAAATGTCATAGCACCTTTTACCTTTGTATCTCTGTCGAGTGCAGTAACGTGGTTAGCTCAGAGAGAGGGCGGGAGAGCTCTGTCCTTGCCCTCGTGTTGACCTAGTGCTGTGCTCATGCACTAGGTATGAGTGCTGAAGGCAGCAAGGAGGGCGAATTAGTTGAGAATACGTGAAGGAACAGCCGSGTTATAATGCCTGCAGAATAACTGCAGGGGGAAATCAGTGATCTGTGCTGCCGCGTGCTTATTTTCTGGAGGAAATCCTGTCGTGCTGTGCAGTGGTTTTCTTGTGTTTCATGTTATCGCCAGAGGCTGACTGCTCTTTTGCTGTTTTCTTTCAGATTTCAGTAACGTGATCAGTAAGAGTGATGTCAAGTCGCTGGCTGAGGCTGACGAGCAGGAAGTTGTGGCAGAAGTTCAGGTGAATTTTGGATGCCTCACGCAGATCTCCTCGCTAGCAAAGCGAAAGTGCAAGCTAAGTAATTCAGGTGTGGCTCGGAGAGGCCTGGCTGGGACTCTTGGGCAGAATGCAGAAACCCTGCATCCTCTAGGAGAGGAAGCCGAGGGGATTGTACACATGGAGTTTAAAAAAAGTACAAAAAAGAAAACCACGTGTGTCCTGCTCTTCCTTGCCCTGGGGTTGACAGCACTTCTGGTGTTAGMGCCTGGGTTGCAGCGCAGCTGCTGCTGGTGTCTGTGGTATTGGCAAAGCGCTAGAGTTGCAAAAAATTGACTGAGCAGAAACTGGCAGTGGAGATGTCAGCAGAAGCGCAGGGATTTGTGAGGCTGGGCATGCAGGAAGGAGAAATGATCAGGTTCCAGGGCCTTGTACATTGCTTAGGGATTTACTTAGTATTGCTGTGTTAGAGCACTTGCTCCTGTAGGCTGAATTAGGGCTGGCAAGATGCTTAAATGTATTTGCTTTCGCTTGTTGGCAGGAGTTCTATGGAGATTACATTGCCGTGAATCCACATGTTTTTTCTCTCAACCTCCTGGGCTGCTGCCAGGTATGAAAAAAAGCTTATGCTCCTCCAGGGCCTTGTTTTATGGTTAATAGAGAGGCCACCCCAACMCACTGGGCACTGCCATGACTTGCCCAGCGATTGCTGTTCACGGTCCGTAAGGGGTAACTGATCCTTAAAAGGAGTTGGCAAGAAGGGGTGTATTGGAGAATCCGGGTTGTGGCCTTTGATGTACCTGTGCCTTCAGTCCAACTACAGTTGATCTTCAAAGAAACAAGGCTTTTATCTAAGAGAGAGTTCAGGGATGGTGAATCTGTATTAGATGCACCTTTCTTTCTAGGGTCGCAGCTGGGATCCAGCGCAGCTCTCCAGAACTACTCAAGGGCTGACGGCTCTGCTTTTGTCTCTGAAGAAGTGCCCCATGATTCGCTACCAGCTCTCCTCCGAGCCAGCAAAGCGGCTGGCCGAATGTGTCAAGGTGCAGTGATGTGAAATGAGTTCAACRCAACACTTAAACTGCATTTAATTTTTAAAGCATTAAATGCATTAATGCATTGGAGGGAAATACCCTTCTTCAGAGGATTCTTGGTCTGGCGTCTAGTGATTACGTGGCCTAAGGCAGGTCACACCCCTTGTCTGTGCTCCCATATCAAGACCAATATTTCCCAGGAGTGTTAGAGGTGTCAGTGGATAACCTGATACCTTTTGAAAGCAGGTATTATTTCTCTGTTAGCGAAGTAAACCAAAATAGCAGCACAACTTGCTTTTCACTAGCTCTTTAATTCTTGTTCACCTGTCAAYGTAAATGAAACATTTTTGGGGGTATGCATAAGACCAAGTTACTCTTTCCTTTTCTCAACAGCAAGTAATCACTAAAGAGTATGAGCTGTTTGATTTTCGGCGCACTGAGGTTCCTCCTTTACTACTTATTGTCGACCGGTCTGATGATGCTATCACCCCACTTCTGAACCAGGTGAATCATCTCATAGTCGTACAAGGGCAAGTTCACAGAGCCATGTGGCAGGAGGAGTGGGTTGGACTCTCCTTTCAGATCCCTCTCTGATCTGTGACCTGCTTTTTGGGCTGTTGAGAACGGATTGTTCTGGCTTTGGTGGCAGATGCAGCCAGCATCCTGGAAAATCAGGCCACTTACACTTCTTGTAAACTATACTTAACATTTAGAGACCTTGTGTCTTGGCAGTTTCCTCTTCAAAGGTTTATTTGTATCGCCTGTTTGGCAGCACATGTACACGGTTATGGAGTGACCTTGCACTCCTGTGCTTCTCTCTCTGTTACTCATGGGTGGAAGTATTTATGAGGTAGATACTGTGATGCTTTTCTTTGCTGCTTTGTAACTGGATTGCCGATTCTGGCATCAAACCGTCTGTTACTCGTCTCCWTTCATTTCTGTGTGTCTGCTCGGACACAAGTCAGCCCAGTGATTAGGTAATGGCTGGTAATGCCTCAGAACAGCAGCCAGGGCTTCCGCAACGCCCGTGGCGAAGCAGCTACTGCTGCAACTCGTGTTTTAGAGTGTCCTGACAGTTGGAAGCCCCTCTCAGGCTGGGGTGTAGAGCTAAGGACTGCASTCAGCACAGGGCACTGAGAACATGGAGATTTCCTACCAGAAAAAGAAGATTCAAGTGAATGTAAATGGAGTGTCAGGCATGTCAGCACTCTGATCAACTTTTACTTTTCTCTGTAGATTAACATTAGTCTTCCCAGAATAAATTTCATAACTTCCTGATGTGCAGAAACACACACTCCTACCACTGTGTAAGAAGCACAGGAGCAGGTCGGAAATGGTACAGTCTGTAGCTGTGGAAACTCTGCTACCAAAAATATGTGGCACTTTACAGACAGAGGACGGGGGGATAATGTGACAAAGTGTTTGGGCAGGACTATTAATCCYCATCACTTTACTTTTAGAGTCATGTCTTCAGCATGTAAGCAAGCACTGCAGAATCAGTGTGGTTTTCCTATGTGTTTGTGCAGTACTTGGCACAATGGGATGCCCTTCTGATTGTAGTGAAGTAATACTTATTTCTTGCTCTAAAATGTTTCCATAGGTTGTGGGAAGCACTTTGGATCTGCTATGTGTTGTTAGAGGAGTGTCAACTGGCTTTGTATGAGCTCAGCCTAAAATTCTTTATTTTTTCAGTGTTTGTTCAGYTGCTGAAATCACAATTTGCCTTTTTCTTTCACCATCCTCATTAGTGGACATACCAGGCTATGGTTCATGAATTGCTGGGGATTAACAACAACCGTATTGACCTGTCTCGGGTACCTGGGATAAGCAAGGACCTCCGGGAAGTGGTTCTGTCAGCCGAGAATGATGAGTTCTACGCCAATGTAGGTGTCTRTCTTATCCTCGGAATCTCCCTGTGTGGCTGAATTTGGGGATCAAGATCCGTTCTTGGTTCTGCCTTGAAACTGTATGTCTGAGAGAGGATCTTTCTGGGATTTAGAGCATCAGAGTGATGCTGTGSCAATGTGAAGACTGGTGTAATGCAAGGTGGGGGTCTTGGGGAGGTGGTATGCAGGGGAACTTCAGTGTAAATCAAGACTGAAAAATCTTGAGTGTTCTCTCTCAGATCCATATTTTGGTCCATGCAGAACATGTACCTGAACTTTGCGGAGATTGGCAGTAACATCAAGAATCTTATGGAAGATTTCCAGAGGAGGAAACCTAAGGAGCAACAGAAATTGGAATCCATAGCAGATATGAAGGTACATGTGGTTAAGGGAAAAGGTTCCTCYTTCTGAGGATTAGGCACTCTGATAGCCCATGCCCCATCACTGCAGGGAAGTCTGCCAGCCTACTTGTTCTCACAACTCTCTGAGTGTGCTTAGAGGAATCCAGAAGTCCTAGAATTGAATCAGTAAACTCTAGTTTTAAAGTTCTTAGCTTAACCCAGTATGACTGTGCTGACTCCCCGTCTGAGCTGGGTCACTTGGCAGCAACTCAGAGCACAGGCTATTATCTCAGTCTGTGCTCAAAATTTAAAAGATTGTGGCAGACTTTCTGGACTGTTTCCCTTTCTTCAGAGAGTAAATAAAAATTGCATCCCTTCCAAAAATCTCCTTGTAACTAGGAAAATCCTATGGACTCCTGGGAACGAGGTGCCCGACGAACAGGCTTTCACAGATGCAAAATGCTGGATAAGTGCAAATCGGTGATAAATTGTTTAAGCTCTTTTGCTGTCTCTTGCTTTTACCTTAAGGAAATTGTTTCGCCATTGCAGGCATTTGTGGAGAATTACCCCCAGTTCAAGAAGATGTCGGGCACGGTATCGAAGCACGTGACGGTRGTGGGAGAGCTCTCCCGACTGGTCGGTGAGCGGAACCTGCTGGAGGTGTCCGAAGTGGAGCAGGAGCTGGCCTGTCAGAATGACCATTCCAGTGCCCTCCAGGTACCTCTGCTCCAAACCCACCCTTGACCCTTTGTCTCTTTCTGCCCAGTTTGATCCTGTAAACACCCCTGTTTAAGATCCCTAATCCTGAGGATCAGTGGGAGTTCTGCATGCAGGTATCCCGCAGGGTTGGGACATTACACAGGAGAATTACTCTGCTCCTCCCCGTTCAGTTCAGATGGGGATGAATCATAGTTAATAACTGGCTTGAGAAGCATCTTTGCAACGTCTGTCTCTACGTTTCACAATCCGGCATTCCTTCCTTAGATGCTGGCAGTTGGTTCTGGCAAGCTGCCTGTGCAGCCGTCACTAGAACAAAACTTGGACCCCTGTGTAGGAGCCGCTTGTGTTTGTTGGGGAGGGGAAAACGGGATCCGTGAAATTGTCTAAACCAGACTGTTCTTTCAGGTGGTGGTGGCTTTCCTCCCCTGCCTCGCCCTCAACAGTGAAAAGCCCCTTAGATAAAGGATTTCTTTAGCAAAAAGCACTCAAAAAGTCTAAAAGAGGCTTCTGTTATAGCTGAGTATAGACTGAAGTTTTGACCCTGTGATGGCTGGTTGGATTCCATGACCTGACCTGTATCTGACAGGATGTCAATAATGATGAATTATGGCTGCTGACTATTCAGAGATACAGCAGTTTTGCTAAGAATGACTGTATTATTGCAGAATTCACCCAGCAACTCAATATAAAAAATCCTTATTTTTATTATAGCCAATATAGAAGCTATACCATGTAATGGCCTCCCTTACAAAATACTAGAGAAGTGCTTTGACCAGAGCATCTTCAACACATTTGAAATACATTTCTTCATTGCTGGGGTTGTTCTGTGCTCCAAGTGGGTGACTAARTGACGATCTTAGCTGTTAGGTATTGTCATCTATTGCCAGATCTCGAGCCGATGTGAATCCTTATAGGCCTGGGGAATTCATTGCAGTTGTACAGGCATGAGAGCTCGGGATGGTTCAATAGCTTGTTTGGCAGAATTTAGATGATGAAGTCCCGAAGTGGAATTGAAGCCCTAAAATGCATTTACTGAAGACAGTCTTTGAGGTTCCCTTGCCCTGTCATTGTTTCTAGATGAAGCTTATGCAGATTGAAAGTTGAATATTGGACTTCTAATCTCACTGTCAGCCCATCGTGTGTGTTGTGATGTGTTATCCACAATGTTACAGGCAGGAATTCTGCTGAAGACTTAACACTGCTCAGAGCATGAGCATTGAAACTTGGGTGCTTGGCACTGGAGCCCAATTGGGAAACATTTTTTTTCTGACTTTATGAAATTATCATCTGTTCGGTGGAGAGGGGCACGACACCAACCTCAGGGATTCCGCAGTTGCACTGCGAGCTCCGCTGTTAGCGGAACAAGCTGGGAAGGGATGGAGACACTCAGCCCCTGCTGAGCTCCCTGCTGTCTCGGCTCGGTGGTTACTAGACTTTTCTTTGATGCAAGTTGGGTCTTGGTCTGCTCTAACCGGGTATATGCAGTTCCTAGAGCACAAAAGCTGCTAGCAGTTTGCTTACAGCCACATGTCTAAAAAGTTGCGTTGTGTTTCTAACAACTGAGACCTCCTGGACAACGTGTAGCAGCTAGAAAATAAATACAAAGCCAGGGGACTGGCGTCTTGCTACATGAGAGATAAGTAGCTGCGTAGCTGCGTTGCCCCAGGCTGTTCCCTCCTGCAGCCTCCTAATGGCAGTGGAGGGGAAAGGCCACAGAAGCGATGGAAATAAAGGCCGAATTGTTCTGCCCCTGATGTAACTTCAGCAGTTGTTAATTTCTGTGGTGGCCTAGGGCCCCTGCGTACAGTACATTTTGGTTATTCTTTTCCTGGTCTCTTATTAAGCCTGACATTGTACGTGAGCCTTGAGAGATGAATGGGAGGTTTTGAATCCCATCTCCTTAGATGGACAATAGCTTTTCTGTTTTGCTTGCTTCCAGCGTACAGAGGCATTGGCGCTGGGGTGCTAGTACAGATCCCAAATCCTGCAGGCAACATCTCCGTGAGCCTCTGTCCCTGTCCCTGCAGGTGAAGTCTGTGGTAAAACTCCTGTTGGTCCCTCTCAAAGCCACGGCTTTACCTTGTATTTTTCCTGACTAGCAAAACAAGTTACAGCAGGTCCTGCTGAATCAGTTAGTAAATACTAAATGTTTCACAAGCCGGTTCACAGCACTGCTCGCTGAGTGTTCCCCTGTGTGAGGAGGGCAGGAACATCTTGCAAAGACACCCTGGGATTTTGTGGAGCACTTGAAGGTCACATACATTTAGAGTGGAAAAAATCCTGGCTGGTTCTGTTCCTTTCATGGAACTGCCATGTTTTCTGCTTCCAACTGTAAAATTGACAGCTCTTCTGCTCTCTTGCATTTGAGCTAATATGGACTGTTTTGCTTTAATGTTCAGCACAGGGAGAATCTCGGGCTTTGCTGAGTCCTAGAGCATCTGTCCTGCCCTAACCAGCTGTCTCTATGCACATTCAGTAGTTGCTGCTTGTTCTTTGAGATGCATCTCAGAGTGCAGGGTTAGGGCTCTTCCTGCTCCCATTGCTCACCTAAGCGCAGCTGGGCTCCCGTGTCGGCGGCTGCAGGGAGCAAATGGGGGCTCTCAGTTGCAGTGACAGGGAGCAGCTCTTACATGTCCAGCTGTGGAGCTGGGCAGGCAGTTATATCCCACCTGAACTCCTTGGAGGGTAAATGGCCTGTGTGGGGATCGTGGAGCTTCCAGAGAAGTCCTCCTGTGTGCAGCGCTGGGCAGGGGCTCCCTGAGCTAGCGCTGCGGAGCTGGCGGGCCGCGGCGCTCCGGAGGCCCCTCCGTCACCGCAKCCCCTCGTTGCAGAACGTGCGGCGCCTCCTGCAGAACCCCAAGGTGACGGAGCTGGACGCGGCTCGGCTCGTGATGCTCTACGCGCTGCACTACGAGCGGCACAGCAGCAACAGCCTGCCCGGGCTGCTCGCGGACCTYAGGACCAGGGGCGTCTCGGAGAAGTACCGCAAGGTTAGTGCAGCGCCGCGGCTGCGCACCGCACGGGAACGGGTGCCAAACCATCCTTAATGGCCCCAAGCTGCTCTCGCTCATGCTTTTGTGTCAGATATCACCACAACTTGCAAGCAGGGCCTTTAACACGCTGCCTTTCTCCTTCCTGCCCATCTCCTTTTCCTCTCAGCTGCTGCTGAATAGGCAATAGTTGCAGCAAGGGACTTTTGAGGAGGCTGTAAAAGGAGCTTGGCCGGGAGGGAGAGGGTGGCRGTGCTTGGCAAATGTATTGAGCAGCTGGAGAGGAGGTGGAGAAACAGAGCGATGTCACGTTGTATGAAAGATTTGCTGCCACTGCAACAGACTATGGAAATGAAAGCCCTACTTACGCAGGCAGCGTTTGACTTGCTTGGTGTGTACAGGGAATATTTCTCCCTTTCTTCCTTGCCTCTGTATTGCATTGTATGCTTGGGATTGACTTCCCTGACTCCTTGGTCGTTGTTTCAGTACCTCTGTTGAGCCTCAGTGGGCAGTAACTCCTTGCAAGCACTTCCCGGGTTCATGGGATTCTATTCCTGCCTCTCCGTACAGCTGGTGTCTGCCGTTGTGGAGTACGGAGGGAAGCGGGTGCGGGGCAGTGACCTGTTCAGTCCCAAGGAYGCTGTCGCCATCACCAAGCAGTTCTTCAAAGGGCTGAAGGTAAGGCTCCTTCAGGGATGAAATAACAACAGTTCCGTGGGCTCTCGTGCACTGCAGTGCCACCCTCTGTGGCTCTCAGAGCTTTAAGAGTAACTGCCCTAGACATGTAGGGCATAATTCTTATTAAAGATGCTGGTTGCTGAAAAGCACCTCTACTCTGGACTTCGGTGATTACCACTTGCTCTGTCCATAGATGCTGTGGTTCTTGAAATGTGGCTCTGCTGGTCACTTCCCTGGGCCCCCTGCCTCACTGTATTAATTCATAACAAGAGCTTCTTTTGCACTGTAGGGTGTTGAGAATGTGTATACACAGCACCAGCCTCTCCTTCAAGAGACACTAGATCAGCTCATCAAAGGGAAGCTCAAGGACAGCCAGTACCCCTACCTGGGTCCCAAYACGCTCCGTGACAGGTATGTGGGGCCTTTCAGGACACTCTTGGGAAGTGAAATGTAGCTGCTCTCCACAGTTCTCCTTCTTTGGATGTTTTTTATGGGTGAACAAAACTTAAGCTTGTTGGAGAAATACCTTCACTGTATGGGTCTGTCTTTTACTGTCAAATAGATGTCAGAGAGAGGGCTAAGAAGACAAAGAGCATTCTCTACTTTGTGTTCAGTGCTGGTCAAGATGCGACTTTTCCGTTTTAAAAGCTTAGGTAAAAGAATAAAGGCACTGCACCAAACTGCCAGGCTGTTCACGTGATGGATGTTCACCATGCCCCCTAACTTCATTCCATGCCATCTGGYGTTTATTTGTAGAGAACCCAAAATAGTCCAACTGCTAACTCTCCCTTCTGAGCCAGTTACTATTTCTGATGAGAATGAGATCTTGCTGAATATGGTTAATAACTGTAATTGAAAAGGACTCTGGCTGTCTAGTTTTAGCTGACTTTGCTGGAGCTATGCTAATCTGTCGTCAATGAAGTCATTAAAGATAAGTGTGGGCCACAGAACGAGGGCACAGAATCAGCAGAGAAAGGATGCTGGGTCTTTCCCAGTGACATTCTGTACAAATCACTCCCTCCTTTAGTTCCTGGGTATCCTTTCTGTAAATTAAGCTCAGCTGCAACATGCTGCTTGGGTGTTTCTCATTCCTTCTAGTAGCTGTCCCCTCAGAGGAGAAGAACCTCCTGTGGCTGCTGACTTGCCAGCCACAAGTTAGTTCTTTTGGATGATCTGCGTTGAGGCCATCCCAGCAGTTCCCTGCATCTTCTCAAATGCTTGCAAATGCTCCGGGGTTTGGAGGAAGCAGGTTTTACTTGCAGTATTAGAACAATCATTATTCCTTTCACATGCTGCATTTTTTTTTTTTATCAGCAATTGCCACATTTCTTGGTGAGGTGGAAAATAAACGCGAGGTAGCGGTAGCAATTCTCAACAAATGAGGTGGCTGTTGCCGGGCAGGTTGGGTTGCGTGAAAACTGCAGACTCATTTGGAGCAGCACAGAGGTAGCCTTGAGCAGCAAGGTCCAGAAAYGCCAGGCGAGTGGGAGAGGCCTCCTTCATCTCCGCTGCGAGATGCACCCGCACGCGGCAGCTCCCTTCCTTCCTTAGCCCTGCCTTGGGGCATTGTGATCTGCCTGATAAAAGCCTGAAAATGTACTTCCCTAACAGGGAGGCGTCCCAACGCCATGCCAGGCTGACAGCAGGGTGCATTAATCATTTTATTTATGAATAAGGAAAGAATTATAGTCATACAAGAGACAATTTGTTTGTGTGTGTCCCTGGCATACCACAAAATATCTGCCTTGCTCCAGATTTTCCCTGCAAAAATAAAATGGTGGATTTTGGACAAGGTGAGTGGGTAGTTTTGGTAGACATAAAAAATAGAGGTGTCTAGAAACAAGAGTTTCCTGACCCTGGCGTTTGCTTTTTTCAGTTCCCACTGCGTTCTCTGGAGCCTTGTTTCACTTGGATTCCCCCTCACGTGTTGCCCTCAAAAGGGCACAGGAATCCACCTCTGAGAATTCTTCTGTAAAGAACATGCAAGGAATTTATTTAGGAAAGCACGAGAAGGATTTCATGTCTAACTCAGAACTGAAGCAAAATGGAGATGAGATGAAGGAAAATGAAGTTTCTTCCTCCTCCYCTTTTCCACAGCAGTTGTCCTAGAGTTTTGGTAAAACAGATCTCAAAAGATCTCTGCCAAATTCTACATTCTCCTTCGTTACTCAGCCTTCCTGAGGATCGTCCTTGGCACTATGGCAGGGCCCAAAAGTGCTGTGCTGGGTCAGAGTTCTGCAAAGCTGTCCTAAACTTTGGCCTTCATTAGATAACTTTGCATCTGGTTATTATTTGCTGCATAAAAAGTGGGCAGCRGCTCTGTGCTATCTCAGGAGTGTGAATATTGAGTGTCATGAAAACGAGGGCTCATCTAAATTGGTTTTAATTTTCAGATTTGGAAAAAAAAATCCCACTTAGTTTATTAATGGCTTAGCCTTATTGCTAAACAAATTGAGTAATTTAAATTCATTAATTTCCCAAAACTTGAGGATAATAAATCACAACCCAAGGCAACGTGGGCTGCAGTGTCTTGTTTCTCTCTGGAGCTGGCGTTGCAGTGACTGGCAGAGGTTCAGCAGAAGGTCAGGGTGAAAGGCTTTGTATTTTTTGATCAAAGGGAGGCAGTTGCTTGAACAGCAAAGAATTTGAAAAGACTCTTTTTAACTATTTCTTTCTGTATTAAACACTACACTCTTGCAAGGGAGGAGAAGCTCATGGTCCAACTGCAACTGYGAAAATTGGCAGCAGCGCAGGAAAGGGAATCTTTGCAAAGCACCGAGCAGGGTTTCTAGGAGAGAGCAATGAGCAATTCTCCTTTCTTCTGCTTCTCCCTGGTTTCCTGCTGTGTTAATATCATCCTTTCCCAGTTTGCTGCAAGCCTGCAGTCCTTGCTCCGGGAATGTTCTAGCCAGAAAAGCTCCTAAAGCTTTTCCRTGTCCCCGGAGGCTGGGGGAGCCCCGGCTGTGCTGCGTGCTGCACAAAACACCTTGCAAGGGGCAGGCCACCTGTGTGGTGACCCAGCTAAAGGGCAAACCTCTGCTTTGTCCCTGCTTTGACCCAGGAAACTCCCAAATAGGGAATTTGCCCAGGTAACAGCCTGTGAAATAGCAGCAGAGAAATACGTATTGCTCCTTTTGGATCCAGATGGGATCTGTCTCATTCTGTGTATCTAAGTTACCGTAATTAGTTACCTGCTTATTGAAACATCTTGGCAAGTTACCTTGTTCAAGAGCCCTTGGAAGCTTAAAGAGCTGGAGTGTGGGAGCACTGAAATGGCCTYGCCGAGAGCAACGTGCACGGTGAGGACTGGGCTTGAGCTTTCCCCCACTGACTTTCGGAAGGGAAAGCCACTTTGGATTCCTCGAGCAGAGGAAGAATTTGGAACCAGCTGACCACTTAGAAATGTCTCTAGTTGTCACCCATCCAAAGGGATGGGGAAGGTATCTCCGTAGCATAGAAAAAATCTCCTTTTTTGGAAGCATCAGCTCGCGGCATGTGTTGTGGAACCAGTTGGCTGTATGCGCTTTCATCTGAGCTCACACACACTTCCCTAGACTGTATGGAAATTGGAGTTATTCCTAAAGCATATGTAGTATCTTCTGTTTAGTATGATTTGTGTTTCGTGAGCAGCTTTTTTTTTTTGAAGTCAGAACTCTGACCATGTCCTTGTTTGCTCAAAGCTGTTTCTTGTTCTCTGAAACGTTTGAGCACTTAGCTCTTAAACTGGTAGTTAAGCCAAGGAGAGAGCYGCACTCCCAAATTGTCAGGAGCACGACAGCTGGGGAGAGCCCTCCCACCGATTGCTTTCCCACTAATCCTATAACAGTCTTGGGGTTTCTTCCTGTTCCAACATTGCTTATTATTTGCCCTGATAGAAACAGTAATTCCCCAAGGACTCTGAGAACACCGAGTTCCGTCTCCAGGAAGTTTCGTCTCCAGGTGAGGAGGAACTTCTTCACTGTGAGGGTGACAGAGCAGTGGAACAGGCTGCCCAGGGAGGTTGTGGAGTCTCCTACTCTGGAGGTCTTCAAAACCTGCCTGGATGCCGCCCTGTGCCACATGCTCTAGGTGTGCCTGCTTGAGCAGGAAGGTTGGACTAGATGATCTCGAGAGGTCCCTTCCAACCTCGAATATTCTGTGATTCCCCTGTCCCATGGTAGTTCCACGCAGGAGCTTTCCTTTCCTGTGGCACCATGTCTCAAAGGAATGGCCAGTTCGGTCTGCAGCACGGCACGGCTCTTTGCTCGCTCTGTTTGGGTTATTCCCTCTCCACATCTCTTTTCGGGTATGTTACACCTCTCCTGAGACCTGATAGTGGTTATCATGTTATTGCTGGGCCTTCCCTTTAATTTCCATCCCCAAAATACAGGCWCCTTTGCCTCCAGCTCCAGAGGGGTCTGGAGCTCGCGGAGCAGGCAGGGYGCCGCGGTGTCCTGTCCTCCAGGCTGCCCCAGCGCTGCCACCAGGGTGCCAGGGCCTTCGTGGGGTGTCTGAATGTGCAGCTGCTGCCTTAACCTGCTGGATTTACCCTGCTTGTCTTAAGGCTGTGGCACGGAGGGTCTCGTTGCCTGTTGATGCCCCTGCTCAGGGCACACAGCACAGCCCTCCGGGGAGCAGCGCAGCACAGGAGCCCGGGTCTTTGGGTGCAGGGCTGTCACCGAGACCCTGAGGGCAGTGTCACCCACCCCGCTGTCCCGCCTGCCAGATCATCCCAGGGCAGCTGGGTCTAGAGGGGCACAAACATGGAGCATCTCCTCAGCCCGCGCCTCGCTGACTCCTCCATGSGGATTCTGCTCTGGCTGAGCCTTGTTCCTTCCGAGGAAGCTAGAGGAGGCAGCTGGAAGTGGTTTTTGTAGTTGATGATAGTTCTCGAGGCCAACAAATTGCATAGTGCATATAGGAGAGATGTAACAAACGTGACAACTGTTCTGTTGTGGGATTAGCAGTGCTGTGTGTCCCCAGGGAGCTCCTGACTCCACGGACTCCCTGGTCCCAGGCACCGGGCCGGGCTCCTACCTCTCCACCCCATTGAGGAGACTTTGGCCAGCTCTGCAGTCTCCATTGGTGTGTTCAAATCCAGAAGTAACCCAAACTTTCAGAACAGACTTAAAATTGGGAAGATTACTGCTAACAGGTTTCTTCATGAAAAAGTGGGGTTGGTCATTTCTATTGCTTATTCTTACCTTTCTGTGTAGCTTGATGGCAGACGTTCTGGTTCGAAGCCAGGGTCCCATTCTGACAACGGAAACAGTTTTGCCCTTGCCTCTCTTTTCTCCTCGGCGATAGCAAAGGAGAAGCCCCGACGCCACACATTCTGGTGCCCGTGTGGTCCTCGGGACGGTGGCGGGTGTTGAGGCTTTGTGGGGTGAGGAACCAGTGCCACGGGGTCTAGGTGTGTTCTGGGTCCTCCCTGGCTCCCGGGCCGCCGCGTTGCCGCTGCTGCGGAGCTTGCGCTGCAGCAAGAGGCCTCATCCTGCGAGAAGGGCTTGGGTGCAGAGCAGGGATCCGTTTTGAGACTGTCGCAGAAAGTTAATTGTGTCGAGGCTTGACTGCTCCCCAAGGTGAAAGGCAGTAGCTTGAGCAGCGGGGGTTACCGCTGGCAGAATGCGATCCAGACCCTTCTGCTGTGCAGCCTCCAAAAATTGCTCTTACTCGTAGATGGTGGCCACAAGCACGTTCCACTATCCCTAAGAGCAAGGAATTAAGTGACTGGGGGAGGATGGTGCAGCCTTCCTTTGAAAGCAGAATTTGCAGGACATGTGTCTGCTTCTGTATTTTGTCAGATGGTGGCACTTCCCTCCCTCCTTCCCCCTCGTGCTACCTGTCTGTAACCTCCTGCCTTCCTAGGCTGCTCAGGGGATCTAACCCCGGAGGTAAACGTGGGCATAAGTCCCACCAGCTCTGTAATCAAACCTGAAAACTGCCGCTCATCCGCGCTCTTCCAGCCAAGCCCGAGAGGTCTYGAGCAGCGCTCTTGTCCTCGTTTGACTCCTAAATTGATCTTAATTAAACAGCCACAGCAGTGTCTGGATCATGCATTAAACATTGGTGGATGTGTCATGGTGGAGCTCCGCAGGGATGGTGTGGGTGTTGTACGGAGGCTTTTAAGGACCGTTAGCGCCTTGTGTAAATGTTTAGGACAGACAATGTGATTTAATGGGCTACATGTTGTTGTCAGTCACGAGCCTAAAGCACCACAGAAATGGGCCACAGTCTGGGGAGAGAAATCAGGGCTTATTGCAGGCCCGCACGGGAGCCTTTATGTTTTTCTGATCTAGTTGAATGTTGGTGTCTGTTGCAGGCCCCAAGACATTATTGTGTTTATCATCGGAGGAGCGACGTACGAGGAGGCGCTCGCGGTCTATAACCTTAACCGCACCAACCCGGGGGTGCGGATCATCCTCGGTGGGACCACCATCCACAACACTAAAAGGTAAGGACTTGTCTTTACTGGGAATTCTGTGGGCATAAAGCTGCCGCCGCGAGGGTCGCTTGCGATGCCAGAGGGATTTTCCTCACATAGTAAATGGTCCGAGCCCGGCTCTGCTCATGACGGCTGAGGGACACCTTATCAGGCTGCAGTTTTAATGCACATCACACTGAATTCAAGGGCAAGGAGGCAGATGCGTGTGGCTGCTTTTCCTGCTTATAATTCACTGCACACCCCAGTATGAATGAGAGGCCAGTGCGGTACACAGGAATTCAAACCTGGCTGTGGTCTCATGGCTGGGGTTGGAGCAACCGCATTTGATAGCGGTGAAGTTGATGTTCTGATGATCAGACCCGAGTGCTGTGATTGAACTGCTCGCAGGCTCTGCCACCCACAGCCTGCCGAGTATTGCCYGTGTCTTTTGCATCGCTCTCTGGAGAAAGGAGCATCTCGTACTGGTTTGCACCAAGATGCCTTCGTTGGGAAGCCGACGTTGGTGCATCATCCCTCCATGACCTGAGCGGTGCYAGGGAGCGCTGGGCACCCTCAGCTGCACTGATTTCCTAGGCTACTGTCCCCAAAGCRTCCCGGGTGGCCGAAGCGCTGGTGGCAGCAGCGCTGGTGGCATTTCCCTTCCACAAGCTGAACGAGCCATTGGGCGTCATGTTCTCCCCTGGGGTTCATAGCAAGGTGGAAAGCTTGGCTGTGGTCGGCCGCAAATCCCTATTAAGGCAGAATGCCAGATTTATTTCCTATGAAATGCCTGGGTTATAGGGACAWATCCTAAACTCGGGTTATTTAACTGAGCATCTAGGCACAGGTGAGAATTTAGACCATGTATTAGGGTTGTGTCCAGTCAGCATGGTTTCCTGCCAGCCAAGCAGCGACCCGTGAATTCTTTGCATGCCTTCCCCGCTCCTCTCCAGCGTGCTGTTCTCTGCCCTTGCACAAGGATGATGATGTGGCCGGGAGCTGCTTGTTCATCTGAAGGAGGGTAATGTCGGGAATGTGACAGGTGACCCCTGTCTCCCATGTGTCCCATGTGTGAAATCTAAGTCCCGGGAGAGAGCCCCTGGAGTTGTCCAGCAGCTGCTCGGAGCTTAAAGGGAGCGTRGGGCTCCAAGCTGCGATGGAAGGAGAGCTTCCACCTCCCCGAGCAGAAATGCAGACACACACGGTCCCGCAACAGGGAGAAGTTGCACTTTTCAGCACTCAGGATGAGGTTTTCAGAGCAGACTAAGAGCTCTGGGTGCCTCAAGAGCTTAGAAGCAGCTCTCCCTGCTGAGGTACAAGCGGACCCAACATTCACATGCCAGGCTGTGGCACCCCAGCACTTCCTTCATCTCCGTTACTGACAGGTGGACTCGAGGGCAGGCTAAAATCCGGCTTGGTTTTCAGGCCGTGTGGATGCACTACTCTTCCATTAAAAAATCCCTGCAGTTTTTTCCCTYCTTTTCATGCCAATGAGGGACCTCCAGGTTGCACAGCTGGCTGCACAGACGTAGTAACAGTCACTCGCAAGGCAATGCAGCGGTCTGCTCTCTCTGAAATCGGGCCTTTATTCTAGCTTAAGAGCAGATGACCAGGAAGCTCCTGAGCTGGTGCCATCCCAGCAGCAAATTGCTTTCAGGAACTAGGTTACAAAGGCAAATCTGTATTAGCCCACATATCGACCAATTCCTGCGCAAATTACCCAGCTTCCTCAACCTTCTGCTTTACAACGTAGCCTTTGAACTAAATCTCGTTTCAGCCAGGCCTACGAACAGTAAAGCGCAGATCAGCAAAGATATTAGCTGCCCTTTGAAGAAAAGCAAGAAGGTGTCAAGTAAGTCGTTGTCTCGCGAGGATGATGGTGAGGTTTAGGCAACGTGCTCCCTTGCCTCTTCGCACCTTAAGGCTTTTAGCAGGGGCTGCCTCTCACTTTTCCTGTAGGAAATGCAGGATTTGGAGCTATCCTGTTGGGCTCCACTTGATAGATTTGTGCCGTAACGAGTAACATTAGCTCGTTAGGGCTTCTCCCGTGACTAGGTTTTGGCGCAGTCCCTGAATTATTTACAGAAAAAGTAGGATACTGTATCAAAATTTGCATTTCAAAGAATGAAGTTAAAAAAGAAATAGAAGGGCAGGGGGAAAGGCTGTCGTTTGTGAAGCAGTGGGTACTACGTGGTCCTGCGTGGCAGCTCCTGGGCGAGATTTGCCAGGGTTCCCCTGCTAAAACCAACCCTGCCCCACACCATTCGCTTTTCCCTCGCGGATTAACTTCTCCTTAGTGCAGAAAGGCCACGTTAGCGAGACCRAACGAGGAGACCTCCCGTGAGCAGTCGTGCCAGGGCAGGGAGCTCGGCCTGGTTCAGAGCAAGGCACCTGCTGAGGACACCTGCGGAACAAAGGGAAGTTTCCAGTGGCTTTTGTGCTCGTGCCGGTGGTGACACGGCACGCGAGGACCGTGTTTTGTTCAGCGGACACATCTGAGGTGTCTGATGTGAGGAAATCTAGAGTTTATTACATCCTAACTCCTCTCGTAATCCACTGGCCTTCCTTTAATGAACTGTTGCTTATTTCTGCTGGATTAGGGTTGATATCTCGCAATAAACAAGGAGATTTTTATATTAATGCTCTGAGCAGCCCATGTAAGCGCACTAATCCTGTGCTTTCATCGTTCTTACCGGTCCAACTTAAACTGCCATCAGCAGCTGTGGTTGTAGAGCAGGACAGGGCTTAAGGGATATCCATCCCGCTTTGCAAAAAAAGCGGGAGACAAACAGGCCTCTGGAGCTGGTCATGTTGCTAGTTATGTGTTTGTAGGGAAGCTTATCTGTTTCGGAGACCATCTGCAGCGCCCAGCGAACACCCTGGAAGTAGATGTTTGAAGCGGGGATGACGGATACTCCTCTCTGCATCGACCTGTGCTCACAAARGAGGTCTCGCCATGGGCGCCGAGTTTCTTCACGCTGCTCAATGATGTCGAGGAGAATTTGGCCCCGTTGATCCTTATGGATTTATAGCCATGTATGTGCAAAATAGGGCCAGGCAGAGAAACGCTCTTTGATTTTCACCTGGAATCATGTGTGCTCRGTTTTGCCCCAGACCCGGCCTTAAGTCTGGCCCACTGCAGTCTTATGTAGGTTCTTGCTCCCCTGTTCCTGTTAACCAGCAACCCTCTCCCTGCTGAGTATGTGGGAGCATGAGGACATGCATTTGCTTTGAATCCTTTGAGAAATGCCAGCAGGGTGGAAAAAAACTGTTGTTTTCAAGGAATTCTCAATGTTTTTCCAATCAAACTGGATTGGCTACCTCTATTCCTTGGAAATTTTGCAGCCCTTCTGAAAATACTTCTATTATGACTTGAATATCACAAAGGTAARAAGAGCCTTCCCGGATGTGTTTTCCTGCACGAAAAACCTAGGCAACAACCCGCTGCAGAGCTGGGCCAGCCTATGGGAATTGAAATGCCCAGCTRCCCCTTAATGAAATCCCTCATGTTGAGGATTAATTTTCCAGCAATTCYTTTGCATCTGCCCAGCGGTAGAACCACTCTATAAATGAGGACCTGAGTGTTGGCAAATGGCTTTGTCCCAYGGACAACCAGCTTTTCCTTCGCTAATGGATAGCGAGTTCTTGCAGCTTTGTAGCAGGAGGGATTAAAAAATGATCAATAATTGCCTAAAAAGGGAAGAGCCAAGACCCCGAGGACCAGCTGGTGCTTGGGGCTGCCTCGTGCAGGGCGCAGGTTAAGCACAAACCTGCTGTGCCCTAATCCAAGGGGGAYGCAGCCTGCCCCACTTTCCCGCTTACAGCACGTCCCTGGGTGTGCTGCCCGGGGCTGCACCCGCTTTGGTGCCCGCTTTGGCGTGCGAAGGGACGGGCGCCGAGCGAGCCGCCCTCGCTGTGCAAAATAAAGAGGAGTCGCCTTTAAAAATAAAAGCAAGTCATTGTGTGCTCAGAACTCTGCCTGACTCTAATGCCTAAAAATAAAGCAGGAGGAGGGAGGGCGCGGGGCTGTGCTGGGCTGCGCGGCCCCGGGCGAGCCCGGCTCCTGCTGCACCTCCTGCCAACGGTGCCAAGCGGGCCGGGAAGCGCCGCAGCCGCGCACGGGCTTTGCTTTTAAACCCTCATGCTTCACAACCTTGGCAGGTTGACCTGCTTTAGACCTATTTTAGGGGAATCACGTTTTTGTAGGTTGGGTTTTTTCATTTTTTAAGCGTTGATGTTTGGCGAACTCGCTCGGCGTCGTGGAGGAAGAAGCCAACCCGGAGGTGGGTAGCGCTGAACAGCAGCACCGGGGGAGCCCTCCTCGTGGCACCACGGCCTCGTTGGCTCCGAGCAGGGAGAGGTGCTGGGGGCTGCAGCCCCCGGACCCCCTGCATGGACCCCGATGTGTAGTGACCATAGGGAAGCGCTGCCCGTGTCCCGGAGCTTCCTTTTACTTTCTTCCTCTTGAAGGGATTGAATGAGTCTCAAGCCTTACCCCGCTTTTAGACCTCATTAAGCAGCTGCCTTTGCTACAGCTCCCGCCCGGCTGGGTTGAGCTGTAGGCTTTGCGGGGCCGGGGCTGCCGGGATGCGGGTGCGGAGCACCCACCGCCCGTCCCGGCTTGCCCCGCGTGCCCCTGCAAGGGGCAGCTCTAACCAGGACAAACACTGCGCCATCCCAGCCGTAGGAATGGCCTTGGAAGCCTGCTTGGCGACAGAACGGGTGCCGTTGCTTTGCAGACGTATCGAGGTAGAAACTGTCACTCTTGCCGCGTGTCCGGCCCCGCGCGACCGCGGGAGTCCCTTGCAGAGCTGGAGCAGCTGCGGGGCTGCCGACCGGGCCGCGCTGCCGTGGAAGGTCCAGGAGCCGCGGCAGGAGGTTTCCACCCGGCCTCTTCCTGCCTCCTCGTCCGCTCAGGAAGGCTGCGAGGGAGCGAAGGCCCAAGGCCGAGCGCTGCCTTTCCTGGCTTTGTTGCTGCCGGCGGAGCGGGGCTGCCGGCGGGTGCTGAGCTGAGGCTGGGAGGAGCCGTTGTCCCCGATTTGGGAGCCCTGCAGTTCGTGGCGTGGGAGAGACGAGAGCCCAGCCCCGGGCGGGAGGCGCGAGTGGCTGTTGGGCCAAGCGGGTGAGCGGTGCCCAGCGCCACGGTTGTCCCTGCAGACCCTGCTTGGCGCTTTGCTCCCGTTAGGCAGTGCATCCCGGCGGGTGCGAGGATCCCTCGGGAAGGTGGGAGCCCCCTCCGAGGCCGCCATCCTCTCCCTGCCCCCTGCATTAGTGGCTCCAGGCTCCAGCCGTGCGGGCAGAGCGGGGCCCCGCGGCCCTCGCCCGCAGCTGCCGCCGGAGCCTTTCACAAGGTGCTTCTGGGCCCTGACTGCAGGGCACGGGAGTCCTCATCGTGGTGGCTCTTCACGTGCTGTCTGCCCTGCCCTCCATCCCTCACGCTCGTCAAGGGCTGCTGCCTCTCGGCCGCCTCGATGAGAGTGAGCAGCCCCCAACCCCGCTCTGCCCTGCAGCACCGGGGCAGCTCTGTTCGAGGCTCCGAGTCCGGCCGCGCAGCTACTCTCCTTGTGAGCGAGTGACAAACTGGCCCTTTGCTAACCTCGACTTTGCTTGGCAGCTTCCTCGAGGAAGTCACAGCTTCTGGGTTCCGCGGCCGCAGCGCTGAGGGCTCGCACGCTCCTCCGAGGTCAAGCAGCAGGCGGTGAATGGGGGAGAAATTCCTGTCTCGCCTCTCCGTAGCTTCCCCACGCTCCCCGTGCGGTGCTGGAGCGGGCCGGGCCGTTCCCCGGCGCGCCAGGAGCCGCAACGTGCGCGAGAAGCACCCGGCGGTGACTGCGAGTGCTTCGATGAGCCAAGGACGCGCCCCAGGCGGCAGCACCCTCGTCACCTCCTCGCTAACGCAGCTCCGAGCGGGACAGGCCGTTGGAACCGTAACCTGCAGGAGAGCCTGGGAGGAACGTGAGGTCTCYGCAGCTCTGTGCACGAAAGCTGGGCTCGGTCCTTCCTGACATCCTGTACGAGCCCCTGACAAACACCTAATGACCCTGGCCCAGCCTGCGTGTGCTGAAAGGCGAAGCTCGTTCTTGTGGGCACTAGCAGCCCTCTGCTCTGCTCAGCTGTCTGTATATTTTGAATCCTATTAAATAACCCATTTTGACCAAACTTCACGTCTGCTAGGTGATTGCACGGATCCCTTCGTAACGCACAGGGTGTAGATGTTCTCACTCTGCCCTGTTAACTTCCTTTTACCTTAAGAGACCAGCACAGCACCCTGTGCCCCCCTGCTCCCCTGTTGTGAACCAAAAACAGGCCGAGAGCCGTGACCCCAGCCCTCTCGTCCTGCTGGAGGAAATACAGGTTCCTTTTTGACCTTTCAAGAGGAATTTACTTCCCAAGTTTCCTTTTATTTGCACAGAGGGGCTGTGAAAAGCAGCACAGGTTGGAGTCAATACAGGTACTACCAGCCTGGGCGCCTGGGTTCAGTGCCCACCACAAGCACTTCTCTCCTCGAGCTCTTGCTTTGCCATCGTTAGGTAGGGCTGAGTGTCCGCCTCCCCCAGAGCTCTGCAGAGCTGCTGGGGATGGAAAGTACTTGAGCTCGGACTCATTTCTCTGGCTTAATGCCCTGCAGCAAGGTCAGCGGGCGCCCGTCCATCCCCGAGCGTCCCTGCGGAGCTGAAKCGGCGACGGTTCGTGCGCGGTGGAGGGTGCCCGGGCGCAGGGCACACGGCCCAGCCGCAGCGTCCAGAGCGTTTCCCTTCCTCCCTCGGGACCGTTGCACGTTGCTCCTGGTGGGATGCCATCGCTTACAGACCATGGTCTTCATCTCCAGGCACGTAGCCGCAGCCTGTCCGTCCCCCTTGGGCTTTTTTGGTTGCCTTTTAAGTCCGCACGGTAGCTAAAACTGGACTTGCTTCAACTTTCAGCCCCTGGGTTTTGCTCTGCCTTTTCTTGAAGAGCTTTTTGTGAGGCCAGTGGGTGCAGGAACCAGATTCAGGAGTATTTTAGCCCAGCACCTGTTTGGGGTTATTAACTTGCATTTTGGGGGCTATGCCACTCCCTGGATGGGGGGCAGAGAGGCAGCTCCTGGGAGCCTCGTCCAGCGGCTTGGGAAGATTCTGGTTTCCCATCTGGAAGGAAAAGCGCATGGCCTCAGATTGGGGCATCTCGAACAAAAGTCCCCCCTCAGTAAAAATCCGTTTCCAAGGGGCATTTTCTCATGGAAAAAAAAATGTCTGAGCTGAAAGGGAAACAGCAGGGCCCTTGGTAGGAGGTGGGAAACCTCTCTGGGAGGCCGGTTCCTTTATCACGCACCTGATCCGGGGCTTTTTGTGGCTCAGTTTGCATTGTTCCACGCTCGCAGGAGCAAAATGGGAGAGTCTCGGGCTTTCAAGCCCTTGCTGCTTCCCTTGGCACGGGTGACTAATGCTCCTGCAGATGGAGATTTATTGGGCGATTGCGAAGCTCCGTGCACAACGGCAGGAGCCTTGCAATTTCTTCTTTTGGCCACAGCCCCTGGCTGTTCAAGGAGCAGGAATAGCTGGGGAATGTGGACGGAATAATGTCCCTTGCTGTTTCCACAGGCGCCTGCTGGAATACCCAGCGCGAGCTGCTGATACGTGGAGGATGTTCCGATAAAGGACGGAAAGGGACGTGATGCCTCTGCCTGGTGCCAAGGCTGGATGTGACCGGAGCTGGGCAAAGTTTTGGCACTAATGCTGCTTTTGCAGCACAAAATGCACTGAAACACTGCGGAAATGGGTTCTGCTCAGCTGCGGAAGGGCTTGTTTTTTTCAGCATCAAAACTCTGGAGAAAGTTTTCATCTAGGAAATATCAAAACCTTTTGAGACGTATGAAATACGATATTCTCCTTCATTTCCAGCTCTCCCTTTCTTTGTAACCAAAGGGTTGGAACAGCTTGATGCACTGCTCTTGTTCCGCCTGGTGTTTTCTGCCCGGTTCCTGAGCCTGTGGATTGCAGCCTCCCCGTGTCCCCACTTACCATCTTGCTGCCCTCCCTGCCGGGGGTTCGGAGGCCAAGGCCCCCCCATATCCCRCTCCGGCTCCTGAGCTCCCGGCGCTGCCCTCACGGTCCCGAGCGGGGCTTGCAGAGCTGCCCGGTTTGTTCTGCAATTTCATCAGCAGGAGGCCGGTTGCCTCCCCCGTCCAGCTTGTTAAATTAAARACGCTCAATAAAACCGAGCCTCTGGGAGAGGAGGTAACGGCAGAGAGAGGAAACGCGCTGCTGAGGGCACAGCTGGGAGGAAGGTCCCCCGGAGCCCAGGCTTCATAGGAAGCCCATCCAGCCCCCTGACCTGGTCTGTTCTGGAGGGGGAAAATTGTCCCCTGCAGCAGGTCCCTTTCTCAGACCACCCCGGTGTGATTATCTGGGAGACAAGAAAATCCGCATGTCCCAGTTAAACCCAGTTCATCTGGTAAGCAGCAGTTTCGCACCTGCTATCCAGAGGCTAAGGTATGTGGGGATGGGAGGGTGTTAAATACGTAAATAAACTGCGAGTGTTTGTTGTTCTGCTTTTGCAGCGAGAAGATATTTTGGTAACTGTTTATTATGAATCGACGCTGCAACACGAGGCCTGAGCGGAGCAAAGGGGAGGCCCGGGCACGGCGAGCACAGGGACACAACCATTGCTTTGGGTTCTCCTTTCCGTTCGCCTGTGGCTTCCACGTCCTTTCTCTCCCTCTTTCACCCTCCTGTCTGAAAACAGGGAGACTTTTTTGTTCCCTGTGCCAAATTGAGTGCTGCGGGTCCATTAGCTCTTCCAGGACAGGAGATGCCCCGACTTCATCGTGTGTCCGTGGGCCCCAGGCCACGCTCAGCAGGGCAGCAGGGACTGGGAAGGGGCCTCCCGGCCACCTCCCGGGCCCAGTAGCCCCAGTGAGGGCGACTTGCAGGGGGCAGTTTCCTGCTGGGGCTCTGAGTGTCCAGGAAGGAAACGGGAGCTGGACTCTTTCCTATCTCCCTTCCTCCCAGATAAACTGTTTATGTTTCCAGCTCTGAATCACTGGTCACATCCTTTAGGAATGTGAGTCACCGCAGTCCACCCGCCCACGGGCCTTTCAACCTGCGACGCCCCCGGCCTTTCCCAGGGGAGCTGAGGATCTGCTGGGAAGCCCTCAGTGCTGGGTGTGTGGTGCAGGGGGCCCTCGGCTTGCAGACCCTCAGGCCCACGACCCCTGGGAACCCCCAAGCAGCCCAGACACAAATCCCACCCACCCAGGTCTCCRTGAGCACGAGGCGTTAAGGCGAGAAGTGAGTGGCCCTGCTCAACGTGGGTCCTGCTGTCACCAGGACAGGGCCACCCGGCCCTGGAGCCACCTCGAGGCTGCTCCGTGGCACCTGGAGGCAGGAAACAGGACATGAAGAAGAACATGTCTGGCAGGGAGGAGGCAGAATGGTATTAAACTGGCGTGGGCAGTGGCCTGTGCAGCAAGAAACCTTGTGGAGCTGCAGCAGGGGATGTAGCCGGTCATCGTCGCTGCAGCGAGCGCGACTCGTCCTGCTCCTCCTGCCCTGCTCCCTGTTTGGGGAGAACTTGTTGCATCCTCCTTGGTGCTCCGCGCATCCCACCGCTCCCGACACACTCAGCGCTGCGGGAGCACCGCGCTGGGAGAGGAACGGATCCATCTGCCAGCCCCTCACTCACAAGAGCCCTGGAAACACTTTCTGTTGYGGGGGCTCCAGCCCTGACCGTACGGCCCGTTCCGGAGGATGTTCACAGCACATCCCGGGCGCACGATCCGTACTCGCCCGGCGCTAACTCCGGGGTTAAAGCAGYCAGCGGTGCGTGGCGGAGCGCCCGGCTGCCGGGGCAGCGCGGGATCCGTGCCCTGTCCCTGCGGAGCGCTCCTGCCTTTGTCCCGGCCCGTGCGCGGCGGCGGCTCCGGCGGGCGCGGGGGCCGCGCGGGCAGGTCC